ATGATTCCCTTTCATTTTTTAAATTCAACAAGCAATTTATTGTATTTTATCAGTATAGTAAAACAGAAGAAGGGCAGAACTGAGCACACCTATTGCAAGTAGAATCATTCATTCATTCATTCATTCATTCATTCATTCATTTTCCATTACTGCTTATCCTGTTAGGGGTTGCAGGGGGGCTTGAGCCTATCCCAGCTGACACTGAGCGAGAGGCGGGGTACAACCCAGAGAGGTCACCAGACTAACATAAGGCTGACACATAGAGACAGACAACCATTCACGCTCACATTCACACCTAAGGCTAATTTAGAGTCACAGATTTACCTAACCTGCATGTCTTTGGGCTGTGGGAGGAAACCGGAGTACCCGGAGCGAACATGCAAACTCCACACAGAAGGGATCATTATTGATTGCAATATTCAACAATTTTGCCGCATATTTTCCTAATATTAGGCAGGCCTGATAGCCTTCCCTGCCACTGCCCACACTAATAACCTCAAGTCAGAGCTGTAAAGATGGCTTACGTGGAATTCTTCCATGTAAGCACTTGGACATAAAACTGGTGAGAGGATATGCTGAAAAACAAGGGATCAGATGATTTTAAATGATTATTGTTACATAATTTGAACCTCAAAGATAGAAAGAAAGATTTGAGAGAAAAAGCACAATCCTGCAAATCCCAGGAATCCTGGAAAAAGAGGATTATACTCCAAGAAAAAATTCCTGGGAAAACCTTTAACTCTACTTGACTACCTAAATATTTGAACTTGAAAGCAAAAACTTTCAAGACAAGTGACAAGATTTGACAGTTAAGTAAATAAATTAATGACACAGCAACAGGCAGGGCTCACAAGAGCACACAACTTAAAAATCCAAATTATGAGCACCATGCATTGAGAGGACTCAGCTATGCAACAATGCTGTAATATGGCTTTAAAAGGGAAGTGTTTAAAAGTCATGTAATTTTAAAAAGTTAGCATTCAGAGACCAAAAAGACCTGCAACTGAGTTGGAATTTGCTTATGAAGAATTGCCCTCAGGGACTTGAAATGTTACTGTACATGTGCTTTGCCAAGACTTAAAAATTATCTTGGACTTGTCCCAAAAAACCTCTGAAAGAGCTCTGAATGAAGTCCACTGTATGTGTGCAGCAACAACTGTTCCATGTTAAGTCATCATTTTGATGAAGGCCAAGGCAGGGTGGGCCAAAACAAACAATTACATGGATTAAATGTGAAATCTGACTATGTTTTCTTGTTCTCTAAGGTCAACTGTGACATACATTCAATATCTGACTTCCAATAGGCTTGCATTTCTTATGTTACATGCGTTTTTGCAATGGATATTTTGCCATTTAAACATTTCTTTCATGCCACTCTTGTGTGCAGACAGAGTTCATTCATGAATATTAACAATAAAGTGACTGCATGAATCATATCTGTATGCTGAAACAGGCCTACCAAGCTTGAATACATATTTGCTATATATAGTGCTAATCCAGTGAGACCAGCTTCGCTTTGATCAAGTGAGAGATTGATCTTCGTTCAGGCAGGACTTATAATTCTATACATTCAAGTTGATCTTCAGGTCATCCAGTCCATGTACTGTATCCTATCTCTTGCGTGCATGACACAATGCATGCAAGAGATAGGGTAATTTAGCCCCAGAGCCACTCCACATCTTGGCCTGGAAAATGGCACATAATGTTTCCTCTAGGTTCAGCATAACTCACAGGAGTCGAGCTGTTGCTAAAACAAACACCATCCTTAAAGAGCCTCCTCTATCAAATGCACATCTGGTCCTGGAGTCTTCCCCTTTCCTCCCCCCTCTGCTCTCCCCCTGGCCTGTCCTTAATCAACGTGACTTTTACAGGCAGTATTTCTATTTTTAACCCAGAGAAACACCTGGAGCTGATCTAGATGGTCTTTCCCACCTCTGAGGGTTTGACGGAAGAGCAGATTCATCACATTCACTGGGGCTTTTCCAGGTCCCCAGCCTGTACTGTATGAATAAAGAAAGCTGCAAAGAAAGCATGTTTGCAGAGTTGAAACCACCCTGGTTTTAGAGTAGTTTCTATTTTCAACCACTGGGAGCACCTGGACAGTGAAGTGGTGCAATCAGAGATACTAGATAGCTCCAGAGCTAGTGGTAAAGTCATGGCTGAATCTCAGCATGAGGCACACGCTGAAGGGTCATTTACCATGTCTTGTCCTCGAAGCCTCTGAGTCAGCCACACTTTATAGTTTGTGTGTCAAAATTAGTTGTGATACCACTCTTACTTTGCATCCTTCTTCATGTCTTTCTCAAAAAAAAAAAGACAACAGACAGTTTAGCTTTGCTTTAGCGTCACTATTCAGAGTATTTTTACTGCTGGTTTTACTCCACAGAGATGAATACAAACCATATTGATGCTACAGTGTGCAGTGCACTGCTTTATGCTCTGTCAAGGCTGCAATGTGTACCTCTTTAAAATTCATATTCATTGTGAGCACACAATCAAAGAGCCATTCAATGAGATTGAGAAGCATCCTAACGATGCATCTCTCTCAAGGCCAAAAATACTCCCATATGATATAAAGAGATTAGCTATGGAAATTTAGTGGGAGACAGCACTGTGTCATATGGCCCACTGAGGATGCATGAGCAATGCCTGTTTCGTGTTTTGAAACAACTTGAATAAACTCAAATCTCAATGCACTTCATTTCATTGTTCTGACCAAGTGCCCATTTTCAAGTGGATGAAACAAATGAGCATGTGTCGAAGCTGAGACCTAAATGGATTACATTTGGTTTCTAAAACTGTGAGATGGGATTAAATTGAGCCCATGGACTGTATGAAAGAAGAGGACATAGCCACGGTGACGTCACCCATTGGTTTGTGGAATTCCGTTTTGAATCCTCAAATTGGCATTTTGGCATCTTTGAGTTTTTGAGCCAGAAGTGCTGAGGAGCAAGGGTGGATGTGGTGGAGAACCCGAGGACACCATCAGAGTTTACGCTAGACTTGTGGCAATATGGCCACTAATAATCCAGAGTTCGGCCACATAGAGCAACCACTGGACATATGTTTTAAGTAGCCATATCATACATTTAAACAGCAATAAAACACGCAAAAAATTCATAAAACCTAAAACATGATGATGCTCTTTGCATTCCAAGCCCAAAAAATTAAGTAACTTAAAAAATAAGATGCCTAAATGAAGAGGCAGTCTATTGAACAGAGTGGCTAATCAGAGAGGATCAGTAGAAAAGGCAAAGTAGGGAAAGGACTCATTGGGCAGGCACCAGGGGTCCATGATAACATCTAAGGAGTCACCAAGCCTGCAATCTGCCGTTTGGCTTGCCATGGTGAAGCCTATCCAATTTGATCCATGATGAGACCTGCAGTGTGCTAAGAAAACGTGATTTGTGACGCAGTCCCCCACATCCAGTATGCTAACTGCCATGGATGTGGTGTATGCTCTGAAGAGGCAGTCCATATGGTTTTGTTGGATAAATAAATATGTTGCTTGTTAAAATCCTAAACTCTGCTCTGCATAGGCCTATTACATGTTCATATTTAAGTTGTCTTGGCAACATATATTAAAGATCACACAATGCTGGACCATTTAATATGCTATTAATTAATTTATTTGCCATAATTCACAACTGACCTTTTTGCCATTGATATTTTAATCTGTGAGATTAGCAAAAAGCCGGCATCAGCCAGCTAATGTAAACACTGGAAGCTGTGCATGCCCACCTATACCGTCAACCTGACTACACCAGGCCTCTAGCAAAGCCAGGGCTCACTCCTAACAAAGTTAGTTTCCATCATTTGAAATGCTAAAGTGTCAGCTTGCACTAACTTGCTAGCTTTAGCAAGATGCATTTGTCATTATATTATGTTGGACTTGTCAATTAGAACAGTCCTCTCTTTCATATTGGCACTTACACAACAAGCTACTGTACTATTAAAGGAACGTTGTAATGAAAAAGCAAACTATCTGAGCTAACCGCTAGCACCTACCTGTCCTACAGAAAACAGGCCAACTTTGCATTGCCCTCATCCCCGTCCTCTCTGTAGTGATCACCAGTATAAGTGAAAGTGAAAGCCAACCCAACAAGCTTTTCTCACTTGGCCTTTCACCTTGTTATATTTGCATTTTTCAGTGCTATAGCTTCTTCTTAGATGTGTGCTGCTACTACCTCATTGCTACCTTTAGCTGAGGGCTACACACCAAGGTTGCAACTTATACATGCCCCAAATATAGCAAAACACAGAGATGTCTGCAAATAAATGCACTGCCACACACTTCTAGTGTGTCAAAAGTGATAAGTGAGAGGGAATTATATTGGTATTTAGGAAAATCCTGCACAGTATACCTTAAACTGTGACATTAACTGGAATACTCATTTTGTGTAGCAAAAAAAAAAAAACAGGCTTAAAACAAAAATGTGACATATACAAAATGAACAAAATGAATGTTACAGCTAAACACTGAACAAGATATTATTAGGCGACCAAAATGTTACAATTAACTTTCATGAACTGAAAACACACTGTGAAAGGGTCAAAGTTCTAAGACAACGCATGAACACACCCCAAAACAAGTTGCTATATTCCTCTATCCCTGACAGGACTTGAAACAAGCAGTTGAGCCCACAAACTCATTAGCAAAATGTTTACTGAGGTATTAAATGAAGTGACAAGTATGGTCATTTTCTCATAGACCTGTATGCAATCAGACTTTTTTTTGCAACCAGTGGAGTCGCCACCTGCTGGCCATCAGGAAAAACGCAGGTTGAAGGCTTCACTTCTCCAACTGGGAGGGTACATCCACTTGTCTTCTGAGTCTATGATTGAGGCCAATTGGGTCTGCTGATAAGGCTAGCAATAGATTTTCAATATTCAAAATGGAATTTCTTTGTCGAGGGTTGTGAACCATAAAAGTCTTAGAAGCCGTCCAATGATAACACAGAGGTTAAAGCTGTTTTAACTTTTCTTATCTCCTCCTCCAGACAACTGGAGCTGCACTCCCCGGATGCCAGGCACACTGTGGTGCTGCGGTGCCCAGACCAACCATCTGCCCTGTCCTGGTTCTCTGCCATGCACTCTGTCACATCCTCACTGGCACAGGTCTGTCGTTGATTTCATTGATTTAAAAGGTTCTCATCAACGTTAGCCGACCATTAGAATGAGATATTGCAGTGATTCCATACTGTGGCCAGGATTCAGCTCCTCAGAGCTGTTTTGAATCTAATATGTCCTGAATGATCATCCCACCACAGCGGGTGCTGGCAGAGGTCATCCAGAACACAGCCAGGACGGGGGTAGCTGGCAGCAAAGAGATACGACACCTGGGATGGCTAGCAGGGAAGGTAGGAGTGTGTGTGTGAGAGAGAGAGCGACAGAAAGTGTAAAATGCTTTATAATACCCAACTGTACAATCCTGTGTGTGTGTGTGTGTGACACCCATGCCTCTAGATTTCTCACATTTTTAATGGGATCCCTTCACTCTTATTACCATTTTGTGACGATACTGTGTGGGTGTATATGTGTGCTCTTGTTCCATTTTGTGAGGACCAGTTTGAGTTTTACACCTTAAAAGTGCCGACATTTTTAAAAAAAAATTGTGACACACACTCCCATCTTCAGGGTGTTTAAAGGTTCTGTATGTGACATTTAGAGCATTAATATAGCAGCTAACCACTGTACTACAGTAGTAGTAGTAGTAGTAATGCCATCCTGAGCAGAGAATGAAGTCATGCTCCCTCGGTTCCCCATGGTTAACAACATCAGCCCTGTCAGCACTGTTGCCATATTTTAGCACTGTGTATGGAGTTAGCACTGTTAGCGTCTAGCCGCTGGATCAGCTACCTCCATGATGAAAACCATGTCCAGACAACTAAAGCCCCGTTTCCACCAAACACTTTCGGTATGGTACCTTTGGAACCAAAAATAACCCTTCAGACATGGTACCTAGACCCTAGGTCTGCTTAGCGTTTCCACTGCAAACAGCACCCTTAAATGTGATTGGGGTCGTTGACACCCACTGCTCTGTTTAGCACTCACTGTACTTCCTCATCACCAATGGCACAGATGGAGGTCTGCACTATGTTTATCATTCCCAGGCTGGGGTTACATGCCAATATTTTAGAGCAAAATAGAACAGGCTGCAGTGAGAGTCTTTCCCCATGGGATATTTCAAAAAGTGGGTTTCTGCATTTAGTCCTTCTAAGGCAAGCTCAGGGGTTAAGTGTTGCTGGAGCCCACAGGAATGACGCAAATTGGATGAGGATCGGTATATAGGCCGTTCACATAACCCAGTCAAAATTGATGTTTCAGCAGACTGCAGTGTTCACAGCTCCACCTTTTAGTACCAGATCTGTGTGCTAGGTACCCCAACAGAGGGGGGGACCAAAAATGGGGACGGTACAGAACGGTTCCATTGGTACCATCCTGAACCATTAGCTGAACTGTACCGTACAGTACTGCTCAGTGGAAAGGGGGCTTAATATGCTCTGAACTTGCTATGAAACATAATATGATGACAGATATGTGATTCAGGGTTGTGTTTCTGCATGATTTTTTTAAAGGTTTCATACACCTCATTAGCACAATTATCATCAACATTTTCACGTCTTGTTTTTAGGTGCATCACTTATGATATACCTTTTATTTATTAATTGATCAGTTGCATTTTGTTTTAATTTAGTGATCATTTAATAACAACAGGGTTAAGGTTAGATCAGAGATGCATTAATGCAATAAAGGTATAGAAATGGAAAGATGCCTGTGAGCTAGTTCAGGCAGTCAACCCGAGCTGCACTGATTCATACACACACATCATACCTCACTCCATATGTCATCTACAAAACACACCCTTCCAATTCGGTGGTCTATTTAAGCTGCAAAGATTTCCCAGCTTTCCCTCTTCCTTGTCAATGCCGCTGCTGCCCTGCATCAGTATTGCTGCCTGCTCATTCAGCCCTACCTCCACCCCAGCATTGCCATGCTGGGGTGGAGGGGGGGCGATATTTAATCATCACTCCCCAATATCTCATGTAAAGAAATCTGCAGGGAGTGATGAGGCTGGAATCTAGACACCAAACTAACTATGTTCTGCTGTTGGAATAGCATAGTACCTGTGCGGGCACATAGGTCCCTGTGTTTCCATGCATCCTTTTGCATTGTGCATATCAACTGTAAACACACATGCATATATCTTTGAAATCCATACAAACACGTGCACACACAGGTGAAGCTTCACTCTCTTTCATACAAAGACACACACACCTTTGCCAACCTGTCTGCATACACACACCCATATCTGTCTAATTTATTCCTCATGAATTTGCCAATATTTGATCCTTCAAATGCAGTGCAATTCTGTTACTTAGCAACATATTCTCATTATGTTAAAAAGCTGACCCTTGACCCTTTAAATCCCACGATATGATTGGCTGAGGCAGAACTTCAAAGAGCAGCTTAGGATTCCATGGCTCGGCTGCAGATAAGCGCTCATAATGAGAATAGTTATGGAGCATTGTAAAATGAAATACAAGGGTGTGTGTGTGTTAGTGCGTGTGTGTGCTTGTGTGTGTGTGTATGTGCGCCCAAAGTTAAGAGATTAACTATCTGTGTGGTGAGGGGAAAGCAAGGGGTTGGCTCTTTAGGCGGGATGGGTGGGCGAGAGTGTACAGCAAAGAAAATGCATATAGAGTGTACCTGTGCTTGTACACCAGCCACCTTTATTTTAGCTAATACCCTACTGGGTACACATGACAGCGTATTGAATGCACAAATTTATAGTGAAGGACCAAAACAGCTTTGTAAAAGCCCAAATTGCAGTATTTTGGGTGCAATATGAAGTAAAATAAGATAGAACGTCAGATGAAAAGAGTTAGGTTGAGAGGTGAAGACTAGTCTACACCCACTGCTGTGTCTTTTACACATTAGAAAACACACCATTCCTCTCTCAGACACAACATTAGTCCCATAAAGCCAGCTCACTGGCAAACAACCATTCATATTACTGATGAAATACCTGCTTTCATCTAAAAACCTGGGGACGATTTCCGTATTTGTGATAAATATAAGAGGGCATAGGTACATCAAATCCTGCTCAAATTCAACATGAGCAGCCTTGTAGAATTGATTAAATTAATATATCATTTTCGGCTCCACGAAGATTGGTTGATATTATTATAAAAATGGATGCCAACAACTTTTTTGTTTTATGTTTTTGTTTGTTTACATCAGTCCCCCTCGTGGCCTTACACAGGATGATTGGGTGTAGAAGATGGATAGACGGAAACATCCTTCCCTTTTTCATTGTTTATCTGTTTGTGCTGCAGACAGAGAGTGAGAAGCAGTGCTGGAAGCCGGTTCTGGTGGTGGTGACGGAGAAAGACCTACTGCTGTATGAGAGTCTACCACGAGGCAAGGAGGCCTGGCAGAGCCCTGCACACACATATCCACTTTTAGCAACACGGTAGGTCCACCACCCAATGCACAGACAACACAAACAACACAGTATAAAACATGTGTTGTCACCGTAGTATATGCTTACGATTTTAAAACCAATATATAATATTTGATACCTGTAAAAAATAAATAAATAAATAAATAAAAAAGTGGTATTCTTAGAATACAATTACAAGAAATAGGCTGAGCTTGTGATACAACTCAAGTCTATTTTTAGCCACTTTTAGCTAATTGGATTTATTGTAATTTAGTTGCAGAGCATGTTAACATGCCGGTGGCTTACAGCTCTTTGAGGCTGTACTTATCCACAGAGATGCTTTTAGTAAATGCTAATGTCAGCATGTTAACATGTTAACATGTAAATTGGTTGGAAACCAGTTTCACCAAGTTAAGCAAAAAAATGTATTGGTGCCAATAGATGATAATAAAGGTATCACCAAAGTTATTATTAATCAGGCTGGTTTTGTCTCGTCATGGTTAAACCCAGAGAGGGTGGAAAGAGATATATGTTGAATGTTACATGACTAAGTTAGCACTTCTATGCTACACTTGGTGCTAGGGCTGTCCCCAACTAAGAATTTTTCCTAGTCAACCAACAGCCGTCATTTAGGGCCATTCGTCGACTAGTCACCTGCATATTTACAATATTAATTAAATTACTAAATTATATATTTTGGGCGGGGCAACACAATGGTTCGAGTTCAAGATGTGAGAAAGAATAGTATCAGTAACATTCTTAACACTGTGCTACATTACAGAGAAATACAAAACCGAACTAATGAACCTTCATTAATATAGGCCTATATCTTATCTACAAGTGCACATCACAGGCTGAGCGAGCCGCCTGTTAGTGACACTTTCGGCAAAGCAGTAATGATTGTGCTAAGTGGCTAATGGGCATGTAGCTACTGACATGTTTCAGATGATGCGTCATGTTTGTAGTCGACGAATGAAGATGAGTTTACACATCACCTTGGGTTCATCCTTCACCTTCTCAAAATGATCCCACACTTTGGATTTCCTAACCGACGTATTATTAACTAGCCTGTGTAATAACCGCAGGTACCAGCCCTGTAAATTAATATGACTCCTGTCTGATTGCTGAGTGTGGCCACTTCCTGTGTCTGTCCTTTCAAATTAAATTCCGACATGGTTCAGTCATATAGGTTTTGATTTATTTTTGACAAGGTGCACACACAGTTTGTTTTTTTGTTTTCTGCAACTAAGCGACCAATGAAATCTTGCCGACTGATGACCATTCTGGTAGACCAACGTTTCGTTATAGGGGGCAGCCCTAGTTGGTACTGAAGGTATACTTAATGTATACTCTCGGTGCTGCTTTTGCGGAGCGTGAATAAAGACTACTTTACAGTAACAGTGTTGCTTCTACAGTCATTGGTTGCTCCTTACTTCTATTAATCTCCAGGTGATGTGATAGTTGACTTTTACACTGTGATCTAAAGGCTTTAGCTTCTCTCCTTCTATCATCTTTTTAACCTGTTTTTTCGCTGCTGATTCACTTTAACATCCTGGATATTTCCTTCTGGTGCATACTGTAGATGTTTCTGTCTGCTTCACTCTAAAATAACTTCTTTGTTTTTTCAAAAGTTAGATAATATTTCTTCAGGGAGTGTTGTTAGTGACAGTTGGCACCATACTATCTCTGACAGCTGGGCTGAGTATCCCAAAGAGGGTGGGGCTTAGTGAAGGGTCAACTGAGGGTCTGTCATTCCTATCGGTCGCCATGAGTTCAACGCCATTTTGTTGTCTTTATATTCCTTTGAAGACAAGTTATATAGATGTGGGTAGCAGCTGATCTCCTTACACAGCCTTTCCTCAAAACAAGCATCCATTTTGTTATCATGTACGTCTTGGCAAACCAGCTAGACATATTTGCGCCACCAACTGGACTGGAGGGTGGAGGGAGAGATTTTGTAACTGGAGCCTGTGTGCTTGCTATGCAGACATGGGGATGCAGAGAGTCTGAAGCAACATTTAGTCTTGTTGCTTTTAAAGTCACTTTTGCACAGCCTCTTATATGTCTTTCGTGTCATGCCTTTGTTGGCTCAGTAAACAACATAGCTGCTCCTTGGTAAAACTTTTGATCACCAGTTTCTATGAAACTGAAAGATGTGATGAACTGGAGTAAAAAAAACTCCACAGTGAGAGCAAAAAAATTCCATAACAACAGAGTGTTTTAATGACATTTTCCTTAATTTTTAATAACGAGGTGTTTGTGATATCATCTTTGTTAAAAAGACAAAAATATGTTCTCCCTTCTCTACACTACATGACAGTTTTGTGCGTATGTCTTGTTCCAGTTTGGTTCACTCTGGCCCTGACCGGGGTTCTCCACATTCTGGCACTGAGCTGTTCTTTGCCACACGGACTGGCACACGACTCGGCATCGAGACTCACCTGTTCCGGGCTGAGACCACCAAGGATCTGTCGCTGTGGACCAGACACATCGTCAACGGATGTCACGCCTCAGCCGAGATGATCAAAGAAGTCACGACGAGTGAGTAATACGGATAAGTAACACATAAACATTTAGATTTAGTAACCCAAAGTTAACACATAGACAGTAACACACACAAACATGCAGCTGTGGATAGAATGGAGTGAGCAGCTCGGGTCACTGTGCTGGATTCTGTGATGCATCCTCAGACGTGTTCAGGCGCGCTGCAGCAAAACATATCCACAGAGACTTAACTGTCTGCAAGGGTAAGTACTGCCTGAGGTGTTGGAAGCCTAAAATATAGTCTAAATCCAGTGCAGAAAGCAAAATCTATACACACACACACACACACACACACACAGACTCCCACATCCACTCGTACACTGAGATAGGAGAGAGTTTGTGATATAATTTGACAGCCATATGGAAGATGTGGACAAAGCACTTGCTATTTATAGAAAGGAATGCTATTCTAGTGTGTGTGTGTGTGTGTGTGTGTGTGTGTGTGTGTGTGTGCTTGTGTGCTATTTGGCATTGGGTTTAGGCCGTCCAGGGAATTCCAACAGAATACTCTCTTTCGCTCCTTCAAGGCCTCCCCCTCTCTCCAAGCACAAAATGTCCTGGGAACTAAACATGTCCCCTGGGTCCCCCTCCTCTCTCCATCTACTTTATGATAACACCGTGCCAATTTAAGTTTCACTTCAGACTCCACTCATACGAAACAGGGTGCTTCTAGCAGCAGACGATAGCAGCAAACGGTACACAACATCCTTGTTGTCAGCGTCTCTTAAACTCTCCTAAATCGTGTCTTCGCCCACCGATCCAGGTGTAAATGTGATGCTGTGATTGGCATAACAAGGCTGCATTTAAGCTTGTGGAGCTCAGTTTTAATATAACAGCCCCAAGATGTTTGATAACGATCACATTTTGTGTGTCATGGTAGTTAGCAAGGAAATGTGAATGTTAAAAGGACGCCTTATTTAATCCCATAACAAAACGCTGTCTAGACCAAAACAAGCTGCTCAGTATTGATGCGCTGTAGCTGAAGTCAACAGATAAAGTGAAGGGCCCTGCACACCAGTCGTACACCCACACAGGTGATTTCACTTATTTTGGATGATTATAGCTCTTCACAGGAGTGTGTGGGCTGTGCAGACCGCACTTGATTAACATCTTCCTCATTCTCCTGTTGCTTTGTGAATATTACATCTTTACCATTCTTATTGGAGTCCAGTGACCAGGTTTAATTCTCTTCCCATATTCAACGTGAGCAGAGGTCTGACCAGCTGGGATAAGTTAAAACACCTGTGAGGGTGTGTAGGGCCTTTAAAACCTGCATTAACTGGTTTTGGTTGCTTAGGGGAGCAGATATAGTGCAACATAAGCATTAATTTGGAGTTGTGTGTCTGGCCACCTGATGAATGTAATATGTAATGTTCAATATTCATTCTCATTTAATACTGTTTTCTGCCCACCAACACCTGAGGGAAATATCTGCAGTTTTAGCTGGTAAATGATGTACTATTATATGCCGTGACTTCGCATCGCCTCAGCTGTTATACTGCGTTAGCATATAGATGCTAAAGAGCTACACTAACATTGCTAACTTTTGGTTCTGGGCAGGTAGGGTAAAGAGGGTCTGTAGATCTTTTTGCCAAAAACATCACTTGCTGTGTCAGAAAACATCATTGATGAGAACCAGAAAGTTACACGCTAAACAATAGACCCTTTTAAAGCCAACATCACAATGATGTCAGCTGGAGGCAAAACACGACTTGCCACCACAGGGCTGTAGGCTTCATAGGAGTCTTAAAAAGTCGTCTTGCTGTGTTAGTAGGTGCCTGAATAGACGGAGTCATGGCTCAAAACCAGCCACCACTGCCCTTCAACAAAAACAAAGACAATTAAGGTTAAATGCATTAAAATAAAAGGACTGGACAAAACCGATCATCTAAACTGCTTACATGTGCAGTGCACATTATATCAGGTCAGGGAAAAGGTATTTACTGTTGTAGGGAGGAATAACATTATGTGTATTAAGGGTCATCATGTCCACCTAATCAGCAATTGAGGTATTAAGATATATTGGACATTGATTTCTCCGTAACACTTACTTTTTAGCAAAGTAGGTAACGTTAGCTTACAAATGATATATAAATAATTAGCCGAGACCTCTGTCAGGGGGTACTTTTTTAAAAAAAATGCACTTTTGCACCTTATTTCCATTCAAAGTACAAAAAATTTCCTAGGTTGAATCAATTTATTTTTTATTGTTAATTAGAAAATGGTCAGCAGGCCAGCTGGCACCCTATGATGGGCCCCAGATGTGGCCTGTGGGACACAAGTAAAGTATCACTACCATGAACCCCTGAAGGTCACTACAAGTGACACCATTCATATACATGTAGTCATTTGATCTGGTGGTAATCATAACAGTTGTTAATAATAACAATACTAAGCTGCTAGCAGCTCTGTGAGACTGTACTTAAGCCTGGTGGTGCTTTAAGCTAAATGTTAACACCAGCATGTTGCCATGCTGACATGACAGTGCTAACATGCTAATGTTTATCAGCTCTAGGCCTAATGTTTACCATTTTCACCATCTGAGTTTAGGGTGTTAGCACGCTAACATTTGCTCTTTAGCACTAAACACAAAGTGAGGCTGAGGCTGATGTTAATGTCATTAGTTTTGTAGGTATAGTGTAATAAACTAAAGTATTGTACCTGTTGAAATTCTGGCTTTTACGACAGTTACAGTAGATAAACAGTTGGGGGTTCACCAAAGTGAATGCAATTCATCCTGATAAAGACGTAGATGTCTGTAATAAACTAAATAGTTATTCATCCTACAGTTGTTCAAACATCACTCGAAACTAAAAGACGACCTCATGATGGCACTAGAAGTCAGAACGTATCCTCTGGGGACTATGAATGTCTGCAGGCTACAAAATGTTATGATAATATACTCAATAGCTTTTAAGATTTTTCAGTTTCAGTTTTTCAAAGGGGTGAGCCGAGAGACCGACATCACCATCCCTAATCATACCACTACAATGGCTGACAATATGTGTTTGCTTTGACTGTACCTAGTGGAATACTGCTTTAAGATACAGGTCTGTGACACAGGCCAAAAGAATGAAGGAAGGATGAGAATGGTTTTGAATCTTTATTACTGACCATTGAATTTCTGTCTGAAATGGATCCCATAACTTTCCTGAAACAGATTGATGTTCGCACCAAGCCCTCGGTTTCTTGTTATGGAAGTAGAAAAGTAATTTACACTTCCCCCGAGAAGGAGTGTGATAATGCATACAAAGTGCATTCACTCATTTTTCAGCAGTTGCCACCTGAGGAGTCGTCGCGCTGACCTTGTCATCTTTTCATCTGTGTTACATTCTGATAAATCATTGTGATGGTTTATTCACTGTCAAGGCTTGTGATAAAGATTTACTCTGAAGATAGATTAACTCTCAATCACTCGACGGGCAGCAGGCCATTCTTAGAGGGACTTTAAAGGGGAAAGTAATTTGTTCAGCTCCGAAATCAAATTTCACAGGCACTTGGCCTGCAGTCATTTCTGTTATTATTATGTCCAAGGTGACTTAAACTTTTCAGAGGTTATATTGACATTTTCAGCAATTAGCAGGATAAGGCACTGCCTATCAGGTAGTCCCAAGGTTTAAACCCTGCTTTTGTCTATGGCATATCTGCCCTCCCTGTTTTCTGTTGCTTGTCTCGCTTCGGTGGAGTCTTAATCAACCTATCAAGAATCAATAATCTGACAAGAACTGTGCAGTGTTTCATATAAATAGATCTAGCAGATGGAGTTTGCCCAGCTGTGATGGAATTGCAGATTGTAAGTCTTTTGAGCACTTTAAAGAAATGGTTAGAGATTTTTGGAAATACACTTTAATTTGCTTAGATGAGAGTTAGATGAGAGGATGATACCTCCTTGTTTGTGTGCTAAATATAAAGTTACAGCCATCTGTTATTTACATTGGCTTACCTTAGCTTTCCATAAAGACTGGAAAAATGGCAGATCCTTTTAAAATCTAATATAAAGATATCTTCAGTGATGTACATATATATCCAAAATGACTGGTAATTTGAAAGTTGACCAATGGCTTTGTAGTACTTTAATTATATGACACCCACATATCATATTATAAATGGTTCGTCGATATGTTGGACATTGCAGAAAAGCAATTGCTGATTTCTGACATGGCAAATAACCATTAATCCCAGTCCTTTTTCAGCATGTGGAAATTAAGTTGTAGATATCGGCAGTCGTTAAATTACAAGTGAAAGGGGAATTACAGATATCGATAATTAAAGATATCTGTAAATCATTCTTGACTAGTCAAGATGTAATTTCTAAAGGTGAAACATGTAAAAATTGTTTTACAGATATATTAGAGTGCTTTTACATCTGAGCTGTTTGGTCCTTTTTAATTTAACCCTGGAGCGTTTTGCCAAATAATACGGTTTGCTTAGGGTGGTGTGAAAGCTGTCAATCTAACCCTGTGAACTGAGACCTCTTGAAAAGGTGGGTCTCTGTAAGTCCCAAGTGGACTCAGGTGCATTTCATTTGTGGTCTGAAAGCAACGAACCTGATCTTGAAATCTGTGCGTGATCTTAAAATTGATCTGTATATGTATGTATATAGCCTACATATGTATTTGGCAACCGTGGTAACATGTATGCACATCAGTGAATGTATTTTCCCTGGTTGATGGTCAAAAGCTGTTAAAACTACTGCGCTTGTATCCAACTCTTGTGTTTTTTGTCAGTTCATTAAAGGTCTAGTGTGTAGGATTTAATGGCATCTAGTGGTAAGGTATTGGAACTGAAACTTCACCCGTGTGCCAGGCATGTAGGAGAACTGCGGTGGTGGACGCAAAAACGTGAATGGCCCTACCTTGAGCCAGCGTTTGGTTTGTCTGGTCTAGGCTACTGTTGAAACAACATGGGAGAGGACCCACTTCCTGTGTAGATATACACAGTCCATTCTGAGGTAACAAAAACACAATGAATCTTAAATTTCAGGTGATATACACTAA